CGAGGCAAAGTACCCCCGGCTCGGGGTGGGCGCGGCTCCTGCTGCGGGGGGTGCCGCGGGGTTGGGCACGTGCCGGGCCAGAGTGCGACACGCGGGGTCCCTGCCGCCGCTCCCGGCTCTGTCATCCGCCCCTGGTCCCAACAGGTCCCTGCAAGGGTGGCGCGTGCTGGGACTGGCACAGGCCCGTGAGCAGCTCCCCGGGCCCTGCCTGTGCCAGTCCTGACTCCCTGCCTCTTCCCGGGGCCAGGCCTGAGCTGGCTGCCAAGGGCAGGGGGCGGTTCTGGTTCAGAGCCGGGGGGCTGTCGCGGGAAGCTACAACCACTCTGCTTCTGCCTAAGGTGGCCTTTCCTTGTTTGCTTAAATACAGCCCAAATCGGTACAGCCGTCGTCTACGGGGGCCTTTTCCCGGGGCGGTGGGGGAGCCACTCGCATAGGATGTCTTGACGCAGTGACTGTCAGCGGCCTCGCCCTGCAGCGTCAGGGCTGCGGCGTGGGCGGGCTGTGAGAGCAGCACCTCAGGGAGGCACTGCACTGCAGAGACCCAGGAGACTGTGCGTAGCGGGGAGGGGGGTGTGCACGCATGTGTGAGAGAAGGTTAGTTATATATAGGAAACCACGAGGTGCGGCATCTGCCTCCCTCCTTCTGTTCTCCTTTTGATGAAAACAGATGTCAGCGGCGCTTGATCCTGCCCTGGCTGCTTCTGGGGGTGATGCCATTGGCTCCGTGTACTCAGCAGCGCAATCGAGGGGTGAGGAGCACGTCCCTCCGCTAGAGGTGTTAATGTGTAGTCACATTAAAGAAAACAGATAGCTCTCTCAGGAGCCCGGTACCGCAAAGTGCACACCTTGCCGTAGCAGGTGTACTACAAATTATCCCTGCACCCTCCTCGAGTGCCACTCTGATCCCCTTCCCCTGTCCAATCTGTTGCTCAGCTTTCTGCTTGCGCCCCTCTCCTCCCTGCCTGCTCTGCTGCTCTTCTTTCTGACTCCTGCCCTATCCGTTGTGGTGCTGCCTGTCCTCTCCCTGATCTGCCATGTGCTCCCTTGTGACCATGGGTTGGCCACCCCTATCCTTCAGCATCATCCCCGTGCATCCAGGGCTGCCTGCCTTCATATTGTCAGGATGATGGCAACATGTCCTTCCTCCTAAGGAGATCTCTGGTCACTGATACAGCGCACAGGCATTCACACTTGCCATGTGAACAATGCTCCCTCCTCTGGCCCCAGCCTTGGTGACACTGCCACAAGTACCAGGTCTGATTGAAACTGCCTGGATCAGGGAGCTACCTGCAACTGCCCACTGCTCAAGGCAGAGCTCAGGCTGAGCACAACTTACTGGGAAGGCCATGCCCACATTTGGGCAGGTTACCTGGGATGTGAACATAACCCATCAGCCATGTCCCTCTAGCTCAAGCCAAGCCTGGAAGATGGTGGGTATGGGGGTGTGCTACTGCATGAAAGGAATAAAGAAATGAGTGATATACAAGAGCGTTCTTTCCCATCTCTGCTGGCTCCTTCTCCATAAGGTGCTGACAGGCTGGCTGATTTTTCTACAAGGATCTCGTGACTTGGGCCCAGGCAGGTTTTAAGGCCCGTTGTGGAGCTTCAGAGGTCTGAGTTCCTGCATACCCAACCTGGCAAGGGGCTTCAGCCTACAGCTCCTGCAGTACACAGCCCTTCTGAGCCATGGCCTGCCCTCTACGTGGGCTCAGTGCGCATGCAATACTCTGTACATACTCCAGCATGCATGCAGCCCTGCACCACAGCCATGCTCATTGCACTACACAAATACCAATACCTTGAAACATCGAGGCAGGAAGGTAGCATGCCAAGATATGATCTCTCTGTTTTGCTATCTGTCTCATTCTGCTGCTCCCTCATCACGACAAAGCTGCAGATTTTCAAAGAATATTTTTGGTGGTGGGATCACACTTCCTTTGAGTTCACACGTGCCAACTTAAAGAGAGACAGAATAATCATGTGAGTGCATCTTAAAGCTAGAGCTGGCTATACATTTTCTGATTTTTGGTTGGAAACACTGGTTGTCCGATATGAAGCATTTCACAACTAGGTAAATTACTTTCAGACAAAAATAGAAAGAAAGTGTTTCGATATGCTTGAAACACTCAAGTGTGACCTTTGGGGAATGGAACGTTTCAGTTTTCAGGTCTGAAACAACTTTACGTTATAAAGGAGATGCAATTAAATATGTCAAAACTGGAGTGAAACGTTCCCATTTTGTGGAAATGGAAAGTTTTTATTGTCTCCAAGTGTATTCTTTCCTGGAGTTCTGGTTTGTAGAAATTTTGAAATGTTTTGGTTTCATTCAGCTCTGGCATGGAAGCAATTTGGAAATTGTGAAACTGCCCCTGAAAGGAAAAATGTGGCTCCTTCTCAGCTCTACTTAAATCCTTCCAGAATTCCCTGAGGGCTCCCTGCCTTGTAGCAGCTGCACCTTTAAAGCCAGAGAGCTCCAATCCATCCAAGAGGGAGACTGAGCTTTGTGTCAGAGGATGGGAAAGCCCTGAAGGGTTTGGCAGAATGGACCCAGACCTGGTTTCCAGGCTATGATGACTCAGTGTCATCCATGCCAGGCCCCAGGACAGTGCTGTTTGGAAGGAAGGGAGGGAAGTCCTTCTAGCAGGTTAATTCCATGTTAACAATGACATACATTTCAATCTGTTGCCACAAATCTACTGTGATGTTTGAGATGCTCAAAATTATTCCTGCTGGCCCTGGAGCTAGCTGAGCAGGGCAAGCACTGAAGCTACCAGATTCATACGCTTCTGCAATAGCCTCCACTGATTTTCTGCGGATATACACAGACACATACGCCTGCATTGCTCATGCAGTGCATGCTGCTCTTGGCCATGGTTTTGTTTGCTGTTGCATGTAGCAGTTTACACAGAGGGATCAGTATGGGGGGTGCAGCATGCTCAGAAAGCCAAGCAGTGCAGGAGCTGCAGGCTGAGGCCCCTGTATGAGGCTGGGCTCAGGCAATGTCCGAGGCCATCTCTCAAGCTCTTTATCAGACATGTTTAATACAACACACTCCCCATTGGCCACAGAAGGAACCACAGCTCATTTGCTACTGATGGAGAAAAGGCCAGAAGAGAGCTTGTGGTCACGAATGATACACTGCTCTGTCACACAGTCACGGCTCAAGCATAGCTACGTGAAGCCGCTGCAGTGGGTGCCTGCAGCCCATCGGGCTCACAGTCGGTGGGTGGAGGCCCAGAAACATTGTCCTGAAGACAGCAGCCAGGTTGGAAAAGCCTGTCACTTCAGGGAAAGAGAACCCTCCAGAGAGCCAGCAGCTGAGCACAAGGCGCTTGTTAAACCGTGGTCACGCACAAGCGAGCTGTCAAACACTCCTCGTTCAGAACATCTCTCCTTGCAGCTCTCCCGCTGGTACTGTGGTGGCTCTGCTCCAGGGGTGCTGAATTCACATCAGGGCTCCTAAAAGCACAGCAGCCATTTTTAATACATGAGTGATTGCACCAGCCTTTCCCAGCTAGCTGGGTCTTGTAGGGGGTTACCAAGTTCTGCAGCTTACTGGCTCCCTCTCCCTGAGAGCAGCTGCATCGCAGTGCCCCACCGTCTGCATTAACTGTGCAACACTAGCTTGCTCACAAACTTGCTTCACGTTCAGCCCATGAAGCACACGGAGCTTGATGCCCAGAGCACACAGGCATGCCAGAGTTGGCAACACACACTCTGGAGAGCAGGGCAGACTGTAAAGAGCAGGGCAGATTGCTCTTTACTGTATGCAGTAAAAATCCCATCCCAGCAGCCGATGGATAAAGGGACGTCAGTCCCTTCCCACAACTTGCCTCTGCATCCAGTTCTGTGCCCCGTCATTGCCATCTGTGTGTGCTCTCTCCCTGGACCAGAAGTTACCTGCCCCAAATCCACCCTGTCCCAGTGCATCCTGACCTGGCTCCAGATCCACCCTGCCCCGGTGCTGCATGGCCACCACAGAACCATCCTGGCGTGATCCAGCCTTTCCTGGCCCTGACCCACACACATACTGTTCAGCCCCTTGCTCCGAGAGCACCCACTGATGCTAGGAGACCTCACCCTGCAATGCTCCTGGCTGTGCAGCGACCCAACTTCACTAGGAGGGGTGGACAGTGCTTGCTCCACACTAATCTATGGAGAGGCGAGCAGGGCATTCTTCTGGGCAGCAGGAGATATGGTTTTGAG